CATTCTACCATCGTAAGTGGTTTACAGATCATGTCCTTTAAATCATGTACTTTCCATAAGGCAAGATACACAAAGCAAAAAAGGGAAGCTTTAAATTCCATGTTGGATAAGTCATCTCTTTTGTATTATTATGCAAACTAGTGTTACTTTGTGAGCCAAGTCACTAGGAACAGCTTAAAACTTCCACATCTACAGATCAAAAACTGATTTTAAGATTAGGAAGTGAAGACTAAAATAGATCATTAGGTCACAGGCTGAACCACAAAAGAATGCCTCTTCCAAGTATCACTTTTATAAGAGATAACTGCACCACTAAAAAAAATTAAAAAAAGATCACAACTAGAGGTATAGCCCAATTTGCATGACACCTGAATAACCACAGCTGATGGGAAACAATGGCAGTATGAAGATTCCCAGTAAGCTGACTCCATGTGTCCTACAGCTTCTCCTCCTTAGATCCTGCCTCTTACTTCATCTGAAGTAGAATACTGCTTCGGGCTAAGTAAAATAAAACAACAGCTGCAGAACTAAATGGCTATTCTTTCTGTAAATGAGCAGCTGTGGTAGAAAATTGGCCCTCTGGCAGTTTAGAGGAGTATGGTAGTACTCCAACTCTAAAAGACACAAATATTCCAAAGTAATTCCAGTAAAAAAAGTTGGGAAGAGTTGGCTAAGGACAAAACGATAAAGGAATCATGGAAGAACTCAGAGAGAAAAATGAATACTTCAAAAGAAAGTTGTAATAATGCAATTATCTCTATTTAAAATAATTTCAGTTACACAGAACAGTTCTAAGCAAAAATAACAAAGGGCTGCCTCCAGAAACTTAAGTCAACTATAAAATGGGATGCAAAGCCACGAGAAACTTCAGGTAATCCTGCCAAAACCAGAAAGAAAACATGAATTTGGTGAAGGACTACAGTACCATAAAAGGAACACAATCTATTTCTACTGGAGAACACAGTAGTATCCACAGACAGCAGGAGTTAACTCACCACATCACTCAAATAACCCGGTTACACTTTAGTATGTAAAAGCAGGCAAGTGCTTAAAAGGCTGGTTTTTCCCAGCTTTACCACAAATCTTATGAGATACAGGGAAAAGCAATGATCCTTGTCCCTCAGTTCTACGATATACTCTCTGCATGTATTGCACCATCTCATTTGGAAACAGAAACTGTCCCCAGCACACACACAGAGCACGCCTTTAGCTGGACTTTTATTTGTATTAGCAGTAGCCTCTAGACAAAACCAAAACAGCTGACACCAGGGACTCGGGAAATAAGTTCCCAACAAGCTTAATTAAGTTTACTTTCACTTACATAGCTGCTCACAAACATCTACACAACACAGGGCAGGGTACTGGTGTACCGTCTTCCTTTAAAACACAGATTTTTCTTCATAATAAGAAGTCAAGGAAGTTACGCTCTGGCATAACTATAGAGAGATTTCCTGTTAAGAAAGGATAATCACAGCATTGCAACTTCCTTCCAAGCCATCCATCCACATTCTCCTTTAAAGACCATTACTCCATTAGCTACAAGCAGAAAGGGTTAGTAAAGGTAGTTTCGCTGAAATGACCCAGTGAAACCTCCTACTTGGCATTAACTATGTATCTTCTGATTTTCCTAGTCTGAATTACCCACCACACATACCTATGCAAGCACACTCTCTCCCCACATTAGAATAAGGTAGAAAAAAAAAGGGTGAAAGCTGGCAACAAGTTTGCCAGCAGCATTTACATTCAAACAACCTAAAGCACGTGTTCTTTGCATCACTATCCAGCACTGAACACAGCAACCAAATGCTAAAAAGAAAGGACTGCATAAATCACAGCGGACAAGTTAAACCCACAAACCAGTTTTGAGCTACCACTGCTCAGAGAGGTGTGAAAACTAGGACAAAGTCCTAGTGAAACTAGGTTTTCTGTAAAAGAAATTTCATGAACTATGCTTTGAGGGTTTCAAGGCTATTAAACCTGTCTGATGACTGTAAAACAAGTAATCCATCATTACAAAAGCAGCACCTAGATTACAAAATAGAGAATCTTTATCATAGCTATAAAAGCAGACCTCCAGAACAGGAGGAAAAGTACATCCCAAGTGCAAGTACGTGACCACACGATGATTGTTGCTACCTATCATTAGACAAGTCCACCTGTAAATTAGAATTATAATTCTTTCTCCCTCAAACCAAACAAGGAACTAAGCTTTGTAACGGGAGAGGAAGAACGTTCTTTGGAGTAGATTAGATTTTTATCATTATGGGATAAGAACACCTTTTTACATTCTTTGATTATTAAGGTAATGGTCACCGAGGGAAATAGAGAGGGAATACCTAAACGTAGGATGGGGAGCACTTCAGTTTTGGAACTCCATAGACAGTCAAGAACAAGATAAATAAGGGTAGGAATAATCACATGCACTGGTACCTATGTTGGGTTTCCTCCATTTGTATGAGTTAATGTGAGGCCGAGCTACTTAAACGTGTTCATGATGGCTCAAGCTTCATAAAGAAAGAATTTCAGAAACAGGACAGTGAGAGATCTTTACAAGCAATACAAATACCAGATTAAACAAGAATGTGCCATGGTCACAGAAAATGCTACAAAACCAAGACTTCCTTCTGGGACTGTATTAGAAGACTCAGTTTATCAACTCATCCAGGACACAACCTTTAACTAAGTAATTTTTAACTGTCATTATCACAATAAACACTAATTAGAAAAATATTTAAGAAGTATGCCACCTATGAAGACTGGTATCTTAATTGTCAGCCACAGCAAGATGTCAGTTCATAGGCCTTATCCAGTAGTTAAACTGTTTGTTGTAAAAGGAAGATATGTGCAAATAATTCAGAGGTGGGGCTTGAGTTGCAGCTGGTGCAAAAAGCATTCATTTTTAAACATACAGCCATAAACAGTATCAACAAAGAAAAATGTTCAAAATACAGAACCGTGTGTCATTTCCTGATTCCAGGAACAGAGACTCCCAACAAACTTACTAGGGGCAGCATACAAAGCTTATCTACCCATGATCTATTTTAAACACTAGGGAAGAAAAAAAGTGACTAGTAGTAAAACTAATAAAAAAATACGATTGTTTTGCTCTGATAAAGAATTCTCTGAGAAAGAGGCAGAAACTGGGGCCTCTGACAGTCTAGAGTAGACAAGGGCAAGACAGAAATGGGCTTCTCGTGCATTAACCACCAGCCAGCTTTCTAAGGAAGTTCAAGCACCCTCCTACAGCAGCATCCCGTAGGGGACATCCTAATTGATACCTAAGCCATGTTCAGAACACCACTCCTTATACACACGCCAGTTTGAAGAGCAGTTGTCTGGTCAGTCTGATGTTCTTTTTCATAAAGCTTATACCATGAAATAATTCAGCTGCTAAACGCCCTATTACTGAAACTGTGCTTTTAGCACTATTCCAGGCTACTGCTATTCCAAAACCTGACAAAGTTTTTCTCCAGAAAGACTCCCTTCTGTTGTGTGAAATCCAGTAACAACCTGACTTCATACATAAGCCATATGTCAAGGTGTTTTCTCTACCTGAGACTAAGTTACTTGAAGCCCAAAAGACTTCCTCAGCCTTCTGACACCCTGGGCTGACCAAAAATAACAAAGTTACTCAGTTACTACTCAGTCTTCAGGCAAGAGATGAAACGGAAGAGGGAATACCAGAGAGAAACTAAGGCAGCTGTTTGGGACTACCCTAAAAAAATTGATCACAAGCCTCTCAGGTACTTGCAGAACAAGAATTTATTAAACCTTTAGTGTCAGACACATTGTGGTGGAAAGAAGAAATAAAGTAAAGCTAATCCTGGTACAATTATCTCATATATAGAGCAACTCAGAAGGCACAAATTCAAGACACATGAAGACCCAACCTTCTCCTCACAGATGTGGGTGGGAGGAAAGGAGAAAGCACACATACAGGAGGCATAGCCACACATCTCTTTCCAGTAGCTTTCGTTACATATTGGGGGAAGGAGGGGAGGGGAGAAACATCCTTAAAAAGCCTTAAATAAATAGATGCAAGGTAATCAGGTATTCAAGCCAAGAACATCCTCAGTCCTGTGACCTTACAGCTTAGTGGAAGACACACTAATATGAACTTCAATGCTCATCATTCTCTTCATAATCACCTGGATGGAACAGAGTTGATAGAAAACCTTTTAAGCCTTCCCATCTTGGATCTATATTTAATAGAAGCTGAAAAATGGCCAGTCCCTGCATGGGATGTTAAGCTCAGGTACTGAAGGTATAAAGAAGTCCTCTTAGGCCCATCTTTCCAAGTGAAGGAGAAGGACTAGAAAGGATAAGACTAAGAAAAACACCCTTACTGACAGAGATTAGCTCCTCAGGCACTCATTTCAGATATTCTTCTACATAGAATAGTTACAAGAACGATAGAGAAACAATAATTTTATCTAGTAGACTACCTGGGAAAGAATTAAGATAACTGATCAGCTATTCCTTCTTGAAACTCCTGCACCTCCCCTACAGAATGGGGGAGTGCTGCCGTAGCAAAACACAAATGAGATCAATTACTCAGGAAATTACAGCCCATTCCTCCGCTTGGTTCCCTCTCTCCAAGGAAGGGGCACGGGGCAACTTCTATCCTTAAGGAGCTCACATTGTCCAGGGCCCTGTGCACAGGGAAGAGCTAATAAGGCCTCTTTTGGGAAGCAGATACGCTGAACAGCCTCTCCCGAGCTCTCCATCGCCACGTCCCCGATCCTACCCCCCCCACCCCCGCCTCCCTCCACGCCATGAGAACGTCCTATGCTGAAACACACACAGCTCCCCGGCCTGAGGAGGCTTCACGTCCCCTGGAGGCCGGCGGGAAAGGCGGCAGCCCCACGGCGGCTACTCCCCTCCACAGGGACCCCGGCACAAGGCCGGGGCGATCCTCCCCTTCCTCCGAGCGGCCCGGCGGGACGGCGCGGAGAAAGCCCCCCCCCTCCTCGGGCCGCCATCCCTCCTCCGGTACTCACAGTCCAGGTGCTTCTTCTTGGGGCCCATCACCTCGTGGGTGGTGGCCTTGCAGACGGTTTTGGAGACCGCCGAGCCGGTTACGCTGTGCTGGGCCGCCGTGATGCGGTCGGTGAGGCTTTGGCCGGACATGGCGGGGCTTTTGCTCGGCGGCGCTGGAAAGCGAGAGCGGCTCCGCTCCCTCCTCAGGGGCCGGGGACGGGAGGACTAGCCGGGGGGATGGAGCTGCACCGACTCCTCACCCCGCCGTGCCGCAGGCGGCCCCCGCTCCGCCCTCAGGGACGGACCTGTCACCCGAGCAGGGACCCCTCCTCCTCCTCCCACCCCCCGTCCCCTCCCCCCTGCGCGCCTTCCGCTCGGCCGGGGACAGGGGGACACACACTGGGCGCCGCAGGAAAATGGCGCCCGCCGGAGCTCCTCCTCGGATCTTTCCGGGGCCGCCCGCGCGGCGGGACGGCGCGGAGAAAGCCCCCCCCCTCCTCGGGCCGCCATCCCTCCTCCGGTACTCACAGTCCAGGTGCTTCTTCTTGGGGCCCATCACCTCGTGGGTGGTGGCCTTGCAGACGGTTTTGGAGACCGCCGAGCCGGTTACGCTGTGCTGGGCCGCCGTGATGCGGTCGGTGAGGCTTTGGCCGGACATGGCGGGGCTTTTGCTCGGCGGCGCTGGAAAGCGAGAGCGGCTCCGCTCCCTCCTCAGGGGCCGGGGACGGGAGGACTAGCCGGGGGGATGGAGCTGCACCGACTCCTCACCCCGCCGTGCCGCAGGCGGCCCCCGCTCCGCCCTCAGGGACGGACCTGTCACCCGAGCAGGGACCCCTCCTCCTCCTCCCACCCCCCGTCCCCTCCCCCCTGCGCGCCTTCCGCTCGGCCGGGGACAGGGGGACACACACTGGGCGCCGCAGGAAAATGGCGCCCGCCGGAGCTCCTCCTCGGATCTTTCCGGGGCCGCCCGCG